CAGTTTTTTCGATGGATCGTTGTCCAAAGTAAATAGCGTTCATTAACCAGTTTAGCCTTGATTGTATTTCATTACTGTTTGGTGGCAAATGAATTACATGTGCCAGTAATGTTTTTTTTTGCCTCTGGATCGGCTTTGGTAAAAACAAAACTGTTACTAAACTAAGAATTCATGAAGTATGGCTGCTTTTTCTACTGCTCCCGGTTGACAGATTGGTCACCGTCAACATGCATGTCTACGATCGGGCCAACAACGCTATCAATTCATCATGTTCCATGTTTTTTCAGGACACCCCAGAAACGATTATTCTTCAGGGCAGATGAAAGTGTTGTTTGTGGATTCAGTTTTAAAAACAAACTACTAGTATTCGCGTGTTGATAATATATATTTATATAATTTACATAATATTTATGTTAATCACATATATTGTATTTATTGATGTGCATTGCTAACAGCTATCTCAGCTGAGAGGCTGCACGCACAGTGTTCTTTTTTCGCCAACTTCTGTACTGCAAATTTCATAAAATTTATGTTATGAGATTAATCCAGCACATGAATTATTTCAACATATTAATTAGTATTTTCTGAGACATGATGCTGTCCTATAATTTTTTTTCATACCAATTCTCTTATTTTTTTTGAATTTAACATGTTAATTAGTATTTTCTTAGTCATGATGCTGTACTATAATTTTTTTCATACCAGTTCTGTTTTTTTATAATTATTGATGACTTCATTGATCTTGTCTATGTCTGATCAGAATTGATTCCATTTATTTAAATATTTGGCCAGTGTTTTTGACGCAAAATGTCATGGTTATATCTTTGGTCACACAAAGAAAAGATCCACCAGGTATCGTTAGTATCCATCAATTTGTTATTTTACCAAGATTCTCAACATGCATGTTTGAAATAGTTGTTCTATTTCGATAAAAATTACCATCACAATTAACTAATAGTAGGTAAGCCACATATCCCTGTTGACTTAGCAACAACAAAAATTAAAATCTTAAAACTATGATGAATAGCTGCCAAATACGGTTATTTTTATAAGAGTATTTTCAGTAAATTAGTGATTGACAAACATATTTTCTTTGAGATAAATATTTATTGATACTTGAATAAACCTTGTTCTGTCAATTGTTTTTTAAGAAGATGAACATGTTATGTTAATGAAAACAGCTGGAAAATTTTAATGGCTTAATATACCTGTAAATATATGCTATGTTCCATGACTTTAACCAAGATGTCACTTATTTAGGTGATGTGGTTTATTGCTCTTTATGTCACTGATGTCTACATTTAATGCAAAATCTTCAAATAAGTTAACCCTCCTACATACTATTACATTTATTATGTAATTTGTTAATTTACATGATAAAACAAGACTGCTGAGAACTCAACCCGACCCCTGTATTATAACTTTCAATATCGAAAGAAGGATCTAAATGGAGTACATGAGTTGTTTTGATAAAAATGCCCATACCAAAGGCTGTGTGGCAGAATATTAATCTCAAACTTTAGTTGGTCACTTCAGCTATTTCTTTTGGATGCGATTCTTGTACAACACTGTCAGTTTCACTACAGCACATTCGCATATAAAAAACTGACTGGGAATACTCCTCTTTGAAATAATGATAAAGAGCTCCAGTTGCTTCAATTAATGAACAACAATTGTCTGTGGGAAAGTATATTTCTCTTAGTTTGTCAACCATCCAATAAAATATGGATGCACTTTCCCTAGGAGTTTTTACGACTGACAATCCAATGTTCATTATTTGGGAGTCTGGAATAATGTAATAAGGCTGTCTTTCAACTGGAACTGTAGAGACTTTGAGACAGTTGTGGTAAGTGCAAGGACTGTAACAGGTAATCAGGTAAAACAGTGTAGTTCCCCAACATGCTAGAACAATTCCTTGAATGCACGTTGCTGTGTCTTGCGCCTGCTTTTTTGGCTGTCATCTCGTTTTTCACCATTGCAAAAAAGAAAATTATCATTTAAAGGTAAACGTGTACAAGTTAGGACTCCAAATCTAATAATTTCCTGATTTAGACAAAATTTGTTAGAATGAACATTTTCATAATGAATTGCCCAAATAACTTAATGAACCAACAAAGCTCTGTACACATGCAGTAGTGGGGGAATATGTTCACATATATCCTACGTTAAAAATATGCGCATTTTATCAGAAAATATGAAATGATGAGTGGCTAAGCCACTCTAAAACATTCCATCGGCCATTCAACATCTACAATTTATAACACACATAATGCAAAGTATGATTTTAATGTTGAGTGGAAATCTTACCGGAACTTGCATTAATGAAGGAGAAACTATAATAACAGTACCAGGTTTCTGAATCATACATGGGTAGATTAGTGACTTAACCAAATCCCGTTGACAGAATGGCTTGGACATTGTTTCTTGACATCAAATGTGTTAATGCCTCCTTACACACCTTAAAGCGAACCTAAATGCAGCCTTAATTTATAGTTGTGTATATTCTAAACTGTATTCGAAATAATATTGCAGTGGTTTAATTTTGTTTTGATTATAACTGTAGCTTGGATAGGCATTTAAAGTGCTTGCAATCAAACACCATGGAGGCCATTCATGGAGGAGAATAAATAACAACGAACATATTTAACATCCGGGAACTTTTCAAAGCTATGACGTTTTAGTATCTGATCACATCCGTATACGCCATTGTACATAGCCGTTCATCCTGCCAAGCATTGTGTACTACTAGTATAAACACAACTTTTATATGCACAATATGCTTTTTAAAACTTGTGTTAGAGTCTTATGCGTTTGAACCACAGTATTCTGAGAGTGGATGCCCAATTGCATTACAGTACCGTACTTCCCCGATTGTAAGCCCCTCCCGAGTATGAAGCTCATCCCTATATTTTTACTAGGTATTTATCGAGTTGAGAGCATTCACGATTATAAGCCCAGAGTGTTTTTACTGGGCATCGACAATATTCTTTAAAATATGCATGTAAAAGGTGTGTTTCATTTCATAATAATCGTGATTGGCAGGGTAGTTTGGTTCGTGCTTTTAGTTTTTATGAGAAAACTCGCATTAATTTCAGAGTGCATGGCGAACGTACACAACGTGGTTCGCATTCTTTCTATTCTGTCATTTACTCAGGATGAACCTTGATGTTGCAATACTGGAGTAGTCCATATTTCTTTGAGTAGTAGCTTTCGAAAAGCCAAACATGTGATCGTTAAGTCGTGTACCTGGTTATTGGGCATGGTTTACTTTGAGACTATTATGAAATGCCTAGGGTTTGAACGATGTGACATGATGTTGGCGACTGTGAAAAGTGTTTAAATTCTTCCTCCACACTCAGTTTACCCACGATTACTATTAACCGTCGTTCATATTTCGGAAATTGCGAATCGCCAGTTTTTAGGGAAAAATGTACCTGGTTATTGCGCATGGTTTACTTTGAGACTATCATGAAATGCCCGGGGTTTGAACGATGTGACATGATGTTGGCGACCGTGAAAAGTGTTTAAATTCTTCCTCCACACTCAGTTTACCCACGATTACTATTAACTGTCGTTCATATTTCGAAAATTGCGAATTGCCAGTTTTTAGGGAAAAATGAACCTGGTTATTGCGCATGGTTTACTTTGAGACTATCATGAAATGCCTAGGGTTTGAACGATGTGACATGATGTTGGCGACCGTGAAAAGTGTTTAAATTCTTCCTCCACACTCAGTTTACCCACGATTACTATTAACTGTCGTTCATATTTCGGAAATTGCGAATCGCCAGTTTTTAGGGGAAAATGATCGTTTTTTTCGTTGCAATCAGTGCTACAGATCGCATTTTAACATTGCAGTAATTCACTTCCGCATTGCGTTAAAAAACCATCGTCAATAATCGCAAAATTTCATCATTACGACACATTGATTGGTTAATGGAAGACATGAGGAGATGTTCCAGGTCAAATCGTGCTGAAAAATCTCATGGCGGAAAATTGCTTTGCGTCGAGAGTTTGCGTACGATCTAAAACATACCAAAACGAAGATAATGATAAATGCTTTTGTCCACTGTTTCCTCACACACCCTACCCATCATTTCACCGTAAATTTAGACGGTATGTAAATCGTATTGTAATAAAATGTGTGTGTTTTTTATGAACATGTTTGTTTGTTCATTGTAAGTGTCGTGGAAATCAATGACACATTATTTTCCGGAGCCCGGCGTGGTGAACGAACGATTTTGTTGGATAATTTCTCGTTGTTAGCAAAATGGTTACAGTGTTTAACCCCAAAACAAAATCATCTTATCTGAGTTGTTCCTCGAGTATAAGCTCATCCCTTACTTTTCCCTTACGTGTTCATGACAAGTGTGAGTGATGAGAGTATATCGTCGACGATGCCCCTTGTTCGAATGATAGTTTTATTTCAAATTACACGGAAGTCTGTGAACAATCTGCTTGGTGTTCCTGTGACAATTGTCCCATGATTTGCCAGTGCAGCCCCGTGAATACATGGACGAAAATGTTTCCACCACCACCTACGAACGCAAGATTGCATACTCCAGCATCCATACTTTGAATAATTTGCACTCCACACAGTGCAGTACTGGAAACAGCATTTATTAGACAGTTAGACAAAAAACAAAGCAAAATGCCTGTCTCGATCAATTGCACATCCATAATGTTTGTATGTTGATACGCGTGTACATAACATTAACGTAAAATTCGACGAAACAACCTAGACTAGAAGTCAAATCACCAGTCCAGCCAACTATGGCTCCCTAAGTTGCTTATATTTAATCTGATACTATTTCGTCATCATGCTTTGTTACCTTACCTGTTTATACCTTATGAGGGCGTTTTTTTATGGCTGTCTTCCGCAAGGCAGTGTTGGAACAGCTAGGCGATGACACAGATCCAAACATGTCTCTGGAGCTTTATGTAAGTCTCCATCCGTCCACCAGTAAAAATGTAAATGGTCACGATCCTCTGGAGGAACTTTAACCTGATAGAACATGGCTTCTATATCTCCCATTATTGCTGAAACGGAGCAAGACACCCACTAAATTATTAGTCAAGTCTGGCCCTTGTAAAAGCAAATCATTAAGAGCCATTCCTTGACACTTAGCAGAGCAGTCAAACACTGTCCTTATCTTCTGAGGCTTTTTCGGATGGTAGACCCCATGGTGTGGTATGTACCAGCCTCTACCATTGTCTTTGTCAGACCCTTCCTTTGTGCGTGATGCCTTTATACAACACTCTCTTCTCTGGTGACCTGCTTTTAGACACCCAAAACAGAAGCCATGGCTCTTCAAGAAATCCAATCTCTTTCTTATTAACTGCTGAGAAAATCCTCCACAGGCATCCATAGAATGATTAGTTTTTCCACAGAAAAGACAGGGCCTGGTGGCTGCATTTTTAGCACACTTGTTATCATGGGTGTAGCTATTTGCAGTGTTTTTATTATAATTAGTAGTTGGTGGGCTATGAGCTGCTGCCCCTTCTTCTCGTTGCCAATATGGCTGTGTAGTAGCGTAAATTCCCCTAGATCGACTGGACTGTGTATTCTTTCGGCTATTTTTTCTGACATTATCATCTCGGTCAGCATTCATTGCATCTTTAGCATACACTGCATCGTAAGCTTTCTTAGCTTCTAACTTTACAACACTCACCAAGTCGCTAAATTCTACTACATCGCTTCTTTCGTTGATTGACAGAATTCTAGATCTCCACCTTTCATGAAGCTGGTATGGCAATTTACTGACAAGCATTTTTATTGTATCAGGATAATCTAGAATCTTCATAGCCTCAATGCTTTTAACCGCATTTTCACATTCTGAGAGAAACATTACATACTCGTCCAGTCCCTTTGCATTACTTGCTGTGATAGAAGGCCACTTCATAGCCCTTTTAATATAGGCACTGGCTATTATTTCACTATTGTCATAGCGATCTTCTAATTCTTTTAATGCAGCTGGGTAGCCTCTACTTGCATCTAGATAACCAAATCCACTGACAATTGTATTTGCCTCACCTGTAGTATACTGCTCGAGATAGTCCATCCGTTCATCACCAGTCTCTGTATTTGCTACTACTCTGGATTTAAACTGACGCATGAACTATGTGTATTCCATGATGTCACCACCAAAACATTTAATATCAGATTGCGGCTTTTTCAGCTCTCTCACTATGGATAGTATGGTTTCATTATGTGATCTCCTGTCAGTAACCTGAAGCATGAAGCATGTGTTGGTTATTGACACCTGTCTGACCCCTTTGTAACCCACTTTGTTCAACACTTGGGGTACACTCAGCCATGGAAGGGTTTAATACTAGCTCTGACTGTGGGTTACAGTGTGGTGCACTTGTTGAAGTAGGATGACCAATACCATCATTAATATTTGCTTTTTCAGGCACAGTAAACTCATGAAGAGAACGGATAATATTCATATCATTCCCTAGCGGCTCATATCTGCCAGCTGCTCATCGATAACTTTGCTTATTGCATCTGATTGCAATTTCAGCTGTTCTTCCTTTTGGTTCAGGAGCAGCTCCTTTTCCTCTATTTCTCTTTTTAACTGAAGTTTAGCATGTTGTATAAGCTGTTGTTGTTTCAGAGCAGCAGCCCTGGCTATTAACTCAGCCTTCTTCTGTTTTTTTGCCTTTGCTACGGAAAGGGAGCTGGCATGTGAATGAGTGGAACTGCACTGTGATTTATTTGACCTCTTTGAAGTACTGGACACACCATCTTCCGGCTTTATTTGTGAATCAAAAAGGGTTGGATGTCTTGTTTGTAGTTCAGCTCTCTGTATCCACTGATCTAGTCTTCAAGTTCTTTAAAGTGAAGAAATGATTCATTGTTATCTTTGAACCAATCTGTATTATTTGTCTCTTGTTGTGTGGTTGGAAGCAGTCTATAATGTTCAACTCTCTACCATGTCCCACAAGCTCATCAAGTGCTTGTGTCTTATCGTTAAGATGGGTGCACACTGCATTACGGTTTTTTTGTTTATTTTCGAGTGTATATTCTAAACCTTTCTCTGCCATTTTTCGACTTCGTATATCAGGGTTTAGATCTGCTTTAGTCTGACTCGTTTATGTCTTACCAGTTTCAGTTTATGTTGTACCAGTATCTTGTACCTTATCTGCCATCTTGTTGTAACCAATATGTAAAATCACGTTAATGTAATGTAATGGCTACAGATGAACTTCTAACTTCTGATCTTTATTAGTCCAAAAGTAACTATTTTCCCACTCAACTTGAGTTTGTTACATCAATACATATAGAGAATGATTAACTAAAATAAAGAAAATACAAACAATATAGGTATAGTCAATAGAGCTATGAAAAGCGCTAACCCTACAAAAATAAAACCCTACATAACCTCTAATATGCTGACTAAGAGCAACTGAATGAATCGTACAGTACATCGACAAATTACGAAATAAATGTATTAATACACGCAGAAGGATCGTCAGTACGATATCAGAAAATTAAAATGCACATGGAGTGCCATACAATAACGATGATAACTTGATGCCCTAACAGACAGGAATAGTCTGATTTTCAAAAGTATAACATTCATCATAAAACTATTCAAAGAAAATAGTGTACAATAATCGTATGTAATGACAATTTTCAGTGTTACTATTGAATAGACTGCAACACACACCAATAAATCGACGTTGTCAGTAACACAAAACGCATGTGTCTAATTTTCCAACGGTCAGTAGATAGCATAAAACTAGAAATCCACAAGTAAATAAGTTCCTACCGTGATTTTAGACGACTCAAGCAGACCAGGCGCAATTTATCTACTGCTCTTTACTATTATAGTGTGTGGTAACTAACACAACTACCAAAACAAACACGTATTTGACCTTCCGGTCCCTAAAGCTCTGCAGCAGCCGCCATGTTTCGTCTCTAAGGGCCAAAATACCTAACCAAAACCTGTCAATAGGTGGCGCTATAACCAAAAAGGCTATAATATGTGTTTTGGCCGTAACAATCTTGTCAAATAATGTCAATATGAAGTCAAAGTCCCCGATACATTGTGATCATGATAAGGTTTTGTGAGACTCTACTCTAGATGTTATACTGTTTCAAATTATTTATGTGACCTGTCGTCTGACGTTATTATGTTTGACTCTGGTAAAATGCGTCTTTGACTGTGACGTCAACATAAACATATATTAAGCAACATGCGAATCTGTTGAGTTGAACAATATCCACTAAAATCACGACATTATACTTCATCTTTATTTTAGATACCCAGAAATTGAATTTGCCGATCCTGCACTCGTGCCTCCCATAATGACACCCGCGCACCCACCAATAACGCCAACAACGGCTGCTCCACGCAATCCCCCTACAATGGCTCCAGCTGTGGCTCCCACAGG